TCTAGTTAGAGCATCACCTATTTTAACAAGAGTGATCACTCGAGCCAATTAAAACGTTGCCGACTAAAATTCTAAAAGAAACGGCTGATGGCACCAAACTGTGAAACTGTTTTGTACACTTACGCATTTATCAATGCTTAAATTCAGCTACTGCTAAACAAAGACATAATTTTAAAGTAAGCCCCCCCCCCCAAATTTCGATTCAACGCAACTCATTTCGTGATCTCTCTGCCGTTGAGGGCGCAAAGCAACTTTGATGGATGACAAAAATATCTGGCTTATTGAGAGCTAATAATAACTGATTTTTAAATACTTTTTTTAAATAAATTGTCGGCATTATATACCTAGCTGCAATGGATCTGAGACAAATGTGGTATGGGCTGATGGTTCAAATGTTTAAAACTGTTCGCAATTATATTTGAATTCGAAATCCAACGAGTTTACCTGACATTTCTGAGGCCACAGCAACAATGCAAATGATTTTACAACTCCAGACGTTGTTAATAACCAGATAAATAGGAATGAGAATAGACGATTATTTGTCGACGAACGAAATTAAATCGATTGAACGAGATGAGCTGCAAATCATACATTAGTCATGCTGAACAGAGAGCCCAATTGTAAGTGGAATAAGTCAGCATAATGGCCTGCATTCATACGACGTGTTTGCTCAGCGAATTCAACTCAAACTTAAAGTATAAGCAGAGTGGAAACAATGAACATCCCACAACAGCTAAAATCGTGATTAATAACAATTGACGCTCATCAAAACAGGGATTCAGTAAAAGTCAAATTCTAGACCGATTAGAAAACCATTTGATAGAGCTTTCGCCTCCAGAAAAGGTAACTAACAAGACGGGCAATATACCTTGTGCTAATTATCACTGTAAATATTCAACTATGAGGTGGGTTAAGATTAATTTTTGTCCAAAAAGACGCTAGCATCTGCTCACCATCGCGCGGAACACCTGGTTCACTAGTTCTGGCATGACGGCAACACATGTCTGTTGCCTTGTTATGCAAGTCCAAGGCGCCACATTTTGATTGACTGTACCGATACATAGTGCGATAAATTCATTGCTTAAAGGAATTCACCATGATTCGACATTTCTCTCTCTCTCGCTCTCTCTCTCTCTCTCTCTCTCTCTCAGAATTTTGGTGGTTTGTTGGCTGCACTAGAGTAAGTATTTGATCGATTAGAAAAGTTTCAAGGGCACAGTAGCGTAAGAATCTGAGCAAACAGGCAGATTTTCCTTGGAGAAGTATCGGTTTTACTCATCAGAATTTTTGTTTGTTAAAACTGACCACATTACGCACATAGGCTACTCATCTCACACCACCATGAATAAAGAATACATACAACTTAAGCTACGATATCGTCTTGGAAGGAAGCATTTGTGCTAACTCACTACTGTATCTAACCCTTAGGCATCTAAATGGCCATCTCAGACAACAGCGACTTTAAGTGGAACACTAGTAAAAGATGGAAATGGCTTAATTTAAAAAACCTTATAACTCGGGTGCTCCAGAGCACTTCTTTAGGGTGATAACCCGTCGAAGCAGAACTTAATTAGTGACACAACGGCTTGATAATTACCGCTTCGAAACATATATCTTCAGTTCTTCCATTTAATATCTACAAACCGCATTGAAAAAGACATAAAATGAGTTTCTGCAATGAACATTCGTTGCACCGCTTCCATGGTGGCCATCTTGCCAATGCAATGAAACAGCTTTGTTCATGTACTCTATGAACAGTAGACAGTTTTTGCGTAGAACATACTTATATCTTGCCAATTCACTACCTCCTGTTTGGCATCGTCATCGTTGATGACCACCCAATCTGAACCAAACCAAAAACCCAATCTGAAAAGGGAAAGAAAATGATGGAATGAGTCTCCTGTCCTTATGTACCAGCCAGTAACGTAGATCATATGGTTCGTGTGCCACCAACATATGGTACATCTTCTTGATAACATCATAATTTGACTCGCAAATGCAGTCTCTCCCCGTGCGCTTTTCTTTGATGAACTGCAGCGATCTGACAAATACAAATCATACTGGTCAAGAATTTGAAATCTTTGGAAAAGAAATGGTCATATAACTTAGCGCTTTAAGAAAAGCTCTGCCCCAATACGAGGCAAGAAGCATTATGGTTCACCTTAAACAATGCACGGTACTGATTAAGCAAAGTGCACCGAAAATGCCAACTGATTTAACGATACCCTCTGTAACTCAAAGGTGTCACTAAAAGTAAACCTTCACTTCTCAAGGATCTTTTCTGGTGAAAGTACGAGGTTTACAAAAATGTTTAGAAAGACAGACACCGCCTTCGGTTTAGACGGATAGCGGAATAATCCAATCAAGTATGGCAAAGGTATTGCTCCGA